TTGCACCAATATGAAATCCCACATTCCTCAAGTTTCACCAAAATCCAAGAATAAGCTCTTCAATCAAGCAAACAAACTCTCAATCATGCATGGAGGCTAGGGTTTCGAAATGAGAAGATGGAGGTTGATAAAGAAGAGCTAATCCATGAACTAAGATGCTTAAAAATGGGAGAACCCCAAAAAATGATGGGCTTGGGCTACTACAGCCACCACATCATGGCACACTACTTGCCATGTTGTGGTGTCCATCAGAACACACACAAACAAGCCATGCCACATTGTGGCATTCTATACACCACGTCTTGGCAAATGGTTTTCCTCAAAAACCATACTTTTGACCCCTTCGAGTCACCAACTGATCCATTCTGGAAAACGGGTGTTACAAGTATATTTTCCAAACAGGTTTGGGCAAGCGGTTGAGTCGCTACTCGCTAGACATTACCAGCTAAAGGCCAAAGCAGAAGTAAGTTTTCACTAACTAGTCAGGTGAGTGCATGTGGATGTTTATGAGTTCATATCAAAACAAAAATATTTTTATGTGAAGTGTTTAATATTAAGTGTTTTATCACTTAAATGATTCTGTTCCCAGGGTTTGAAATTTAGTTGGTATGGCTAGTAGTTTTAATATGAAAACTCTCACATACATTATGTTTATTGTTTACATGGCATTGCCACTAGTTGTATTGTGAAAGTTTTAGCATATTATATGGTTGATACCAATTGTTGGGACAGTTGATATTATTATGTGTATAATTATGACTGAGCTTATTAACTATAAGTGAATGGACATTAAAATGCATTATATATGATAGTGGCTTGATATACTCCAAAATGAGTATTGGAGTTCACAGTTTGGGATATATGACAATTATAGAAATTTTTTCTCATAATTAATAGTTGTCAGTGAATGTATTTATGTTATAGAACCTAGTGACTGGTTACAACCACAAGTTACCTAATGATAGATTATGGTTATAATGTCTTATAGAGAAATCCAGTTTATAGGTCCTTATAGTTGGACATAATGACAGGAGATAATGATTCATCGTTGACTTTGGGAAAATTTATATTCCTGAGGATATTGAAGGTTTGATTATGGACTAATTAGGGTTATTGATTCTCATATGTCTATGTTTATGTTTTGGGATATTATGTCTGTGAGTGCAGTCTTATCCTGTAAGGTTATACTTGGGGTTTTTAAGCCAATCAACCCAATTAGTTTTAGTTTTAAATTTTCTAGAACTAAACCAATTATAAGAAAAATCAACTATATCTTCAAAAATCCGGTTTTTTATCGTATTAGAATCTCCAAAAATGATACCATTACGATATCTCCAAATCACCCATAATGTCGTTTGAATAATAGTCTCTAAAACCGTCTTTTTATTACCCGAGCTCGAAACCATATCCAACCAAAAAAATAGATCATGTAGTATATTCACACCCGAAAACACCAAATCCACCCATCTAAACCCAATTTTAGTTATTTCTTTGTAATTTCTAGCTTCTTGCTAGTTTCGTTTTAATAATATTTGGCTGTTCAAAAAAAAAAAGGTTATACTTAGGGTTGAATAATTCCCTATCTTTGTTTCCTATAACATGTTTGAATGTTAAAAAGGTTGCTAATATTTTTTAATTGTAATAAAGAAAGCATGTTTGGATTGTTTTGTTGCGTTAAAACCAATATAACTCAAGTCTTTTCGACTTATGTGTTATTTTTAAATGTGATATGTACTCAGTTATCAGAGTAAAGTTAGAGAGATGTTGATAGAGAAGGCTCATAGAAGACTTAGCGAAGTTTTCAGGTGGTTTGATCACTTCTCTTTTAATATGATTGTTGATATTATTTTTGTAACATCAAACAATTGTAAACTATGATAAAAAAAATGATAGGTTTTTGTAAAACCATATTTTTATTGCGATCGACTTTCATAATAATTGTACAACCATGGTAAATTTTGAAAAGATGAATCTATGGGTGTTACAATAAGAACGGACAATATACGAGGGAAATATGAGGCGGATTTCTCGCGGTACTGCCGGTGCACTGGTTTCGTTGACGAAGGGGCACCGCGAAAAGGTGATGAAGTGGATTACTTAACTATGGTTGCCTCTCTCCCTCTCTATTTTTTTATATGTTTTGCTTATTTATAGCTCATACATAAAAGGTTGTACCAAAATGTGTTCATGTTTTTAATAAATTTATAGATTAGTTTTGTATGATTTTAACAAGTTTGTATTTATTTAAAATAAAAAATAATAAGTAGATTAAGAAGGATAAGAAAGATGAGTTTCATGTGTTTTGGGATGAGAAAAATGAAAGAAAAAAAATTAAGCAAGTTTTTCTACTCATAATATTAATAAGTTTCTAAAAAGAGTTTTTCAAAATTAAAATTTTAAAAGTTCACACTTTTATTTTGAAAAAAAAAAACATTAATTTTTATAAAATTTAACATACCTATATTTTTCTTCTACCAATTCATAAAGAATCCCCTTAAAAATAAACTTTGGTGGAGCCTTGTGAGAGTGGGGTGCGCTTGGATGAGAGTGGGGGACACGTGAAGACTTCTCGAGGTTCCAAATATGCCAATTTTACCCCCTAATCGTTTATCTTTTGCAAGAAGTCGCGATTGACAACCAAAAACCTAATTTATCTTCTTCCTGCTTTTACATACTGATTTGACAAAATTGCAAAAATGTCTCTGTGATATATATTTTTTGGGGTTTTAGTCCAAACCTTGACTTTTTTGGATTGATGGTCCTTTTGAGCTGGTTTACATGCAGTTTTGGTCCCGGTCCAAACTAAAAAGACTATTATACCTTTAATGAATTTAGTTTTAATTTTTCTTTCACTTTTTAAAATTATTATTATTATTAAATATAAAAATGGGCCCACCTCTCTCTCTCTCTCTCTCTCTCTCTCTCTCTCTCTCTCCAACATTATTGCTCTTTAATCCACAGTCTAACATGACCACCCACCACCGCCCTTGAAACCAACTCCGACAACCAGCGTACAACACCACCAATAACCACCGATGCCAAATCTAACGACACTAATTCAAAATGAAACCTTAAACCTGAAATTAAAACCAAACCAAACCATTTTTCTAAGAAACTGCACCAATTCCAAATAAAATACTTGATTTTAGTCCTCGATTTCAACCTGTATGAAACCAATCAAACCAGGAAAAAAAATTAAAACCTTGTTTATAACAAACGTTCATTCGTTCACACACACACACACAAAATAACCCATCAACCTAGATTTATTTCATGGAACTTGTCTTCCACCTCAGGATCATCTCCCATCCTCATTTTTTTGGCATTTAATAGTTTGGAATAAGCTCTTATCACGTACTGTATTTCCTGTTTATTGCTTTCTTTCACATTTGATAGGAGAATACGATTCAGCTGGTGAAGAAGAGCCATCTATTCAGTAAATTGAATGTCGTATCTGCCCAGGAGGATAGTCAATTTACTGGAACAGGCGTCCCATACTTTTCGAGCATATGTAAAGATTCCACTAGCTTAGCTTTGATTACAGGTTCAAAATCACCAATTGGCTTCAATTTATATTCACATATTTTCCCCTAAAATCCCCCAAATTTACCAAATTAAGATTACAATTTCACAGTTCATAAACCAATCAGAGACTTGGAAAAGGTAATTGACGTAAACATTGAATAAATGAACAAGTGATAGATGATTAAAGATATGCTACCTATTGATGAAATAAAAATCATAATAAAATAATTTGGGTCTAATTCCTCGCCGCCGGTAACTTGCATCTATGTCAAAATTCGTTACCGAAGTTTTGAGAAGATCGGAGTTGTTGAGACCAAGATTAGTAATGGCGATGATGCTTTCCGGCGAGAACGAGGGGGGACGAGAGGTGCGTGATCTGGGGTTGTTGAAACCAAGAAATCAGAAACTAGAGAGGAAATCGACCAACCTTCTGTGTCGGGGTTGGGTGGGTTAGAGGGTTTCAGATCGTCATTACCTTCATCAGCTTCGTCGGAGACTGTGGGTTTCGTTGTCTTCTCCGGTGGCGACAGGGAGGAAGTCTGAATTGGAACTTCTTCATCCCAAGAAGTGTGTGTTTTGCTGCAATGAGTGTGTGTATGTCGTTTTATTTTTTAAATCATACTTCATTCCACACACACACACACACACACACACACAGAGAGAGAGAGAATGGGGTGTGGGTCCCATTTTATTATTAATAAAACATTAAATTAAATAGAAAAAAATATAAAATATGTATCAAGAGGGCAATTTAGTCATTTCAATTTTCGGAGGGACCATTTTCACATACAAACTAGTCCAAAAGGACCATCAATCCAAAAAAGTCGAGGTTTTGACTAAAACCCCAAAAAAATGCATACTACGAAGACATTTTTGCAATTTTGTCTACTGATTTACCAACCATTCGTACCATCTCTTTTGCTTGTTCATCAACCTCGAAAAGCTTTAGGGCATCCCTAGTTTTAATAGTATTTTCAAATGATTCTAAAATGTATTTTCGTTCCTAGCTCGTGAGGATCCAAATATTATCATAATCAAACCCATATGATCCTTGAAAATCCTTGCAAAAAAACAATTACACCAAACCATATAAACAATTTATGTAATTTACTCAAGAATATAATTTGTTGTCTTTCCAAATTATCCCATTATTGTTTTCAAAAGATGCAATATAATTTTTTTTAAAGAATAATTCTAAAAAAACATTTTTAGTACACAAAACATGCGTACCTCTTGTTATTTTACTTTATATTGACTATACGAATATTTGTTTTCCCAAAAAAAAAAAAAAAGAGAGAGAGAACAACACTAAAAACGATTTATGGTATTAAAATCACATAAGTATTATCTTGTATCTTTTTAAATAACGAATATTCTCCATTATCACACGAGCCATACGCGTTGGTTCACGCGTCTTCCTCTTTCTATATTTGCTCTCTCCCCATTCCCTCTTTCTCACTCAACGATCTTCAGAAATGGCGACAGAAACCAACAACCTATCGCTCTTCTTGACCAACATCGACGACGTGAAGAAAATCTTCAGCCGTTTCGACACCAATGGCGACGGAAAGATCTCTGCTGAGGAGCTCGTCCACGCTATGAAGGCACTGGGATCCGACATCTCTGCTGAAGAGTCGAAGCAAGTGCTGACTAAACTCGACGCAGACTGCGACGGCTTCATCAACCTCGAGGAGTTCGCCGAATTCTGCAAAGAAAACGCCGGAGACCAAGAGGGAGGAATCAACGAGCTCCACGAAGCGTTTGAGCTTTACGATTTGAACAAGAACGGGTTGATCTCTTCGACCGAGTTGCATCAGATCTTGACTCGGTTGGGGGAGAGATGTACGGTTGATGATTGCGTGACAATGATCAAGTCGGTGGATTCCGACGGCGATGGATATGTCAATTTCGAGGAGTTCAAAGAGATGATGTCGAAGAGTTGATGATGATCATCTTGCTTGAATCTTCCTTTAAATAAGTGTTTGATTTCTGATAAATGGTGTAGGATTAGTAAGATGAAGATAAATATGAATTAGGGGAATTGATTAATCCACAGTTCATATAAATTAAAATGTGGAATTGCCCTTGTAATTGAATGCAGTCGTAGCTTTGTTAAGTTCAATTAATGGAATCTTGATTTTGGTTTGGCTACATGATAGACTCATCTTTCCTTTGACTGTATGTTGTCCATGTTGAGTTTTTTTTATTTATATTTTGTATATTCGGTGGTAAAATATTCATTTTGTTTGACAACTTGATAAAAAAATAATAGCAATTTGACACATTATTATATAAATCAAAAATAAAAAATTATTTTAAAAGTATTCACAAGATAAGATTGACCATTAGAAACTCTTTTTATGTCTTTTTAACCTCTTTTTCATGCAGTTACCAAAATGAGCATTGTATCCGAAAATGTGTATTTCGGAGCTCGCTTCGAACAAAGTGCATTTCCTATTAGGACAACCATTTTATCTTGATAAGTCTAAAATAATTCAATAAAAAATAACGTCAATTTGAAAATCCGTAAATTCTCACCTAACACTACAATGGATGAGTACACAAACTCCCACATAACAATGTTGTTAATAGATCTATCTAACTCACACCAAATTCAAATCTCTATAAATTATATATAAATTATAAATATGTTAAAACCAAAACAAGATTCACACCAAAGCTACACTCCAAAATGTCTTATGAGTGGTCCAAAATCACCTCTAAATTTAACAATCCTTCAAGCTCCAACAATAAGCTCAAGCCCTAGACATTAGTGGGTAAACATGTTCAATTTTGATTTGGTCTATAGTATTACAGGGCTAGAGGAAGATGAAATTAACATAAATGGGTATGTTGAGGTGGACATATAGTAGAACCTTGTTGGATAGGATACCAAATGAGGTTATAAGAAATTCATTAGTAGTGGTACGAATCACAGGAAAATTAAGAGAATGATGATTGAGACGGTATGGGCATGTCTAAGGTGGATACTATCATCCTTGATAAGGATGGCAGATTTAATGATGTTTGATGAAAAGGATATGAGAGGGAATCCTAGAAGGAAATAGGATGATAGTATGAGGTTGTGACCTTATATAGGAGGGTGTAGAGGCTAACTATCAGGGTTGATGAGTAGCCTAGCACCTTTATATGTTTGTTTTATTTCTAATCTTTAGTGTTGATATATGTTTTTTTGCTCATATGCTTGTATTATGATTTATTCATGTATATGTTTTACTACCCATTTCACATAAGGGGTGTTTGATAGTCTAAGAACAAATCAATCTGATTAAGTTAGTGTGGTCTAGGACCGAATCAAAGACTTCTAATTGTGATATCAAACAAGAATATGACCGGGTTAGACCCAACCTCTTTACCAAACCCAATAAGACATATCAAACAACCCCTTACTCTTCCCTTGTGTTGCCTCTTTTGCATGTTCTATGATCCATATGTGTGTGCTATATATATATATATATATATATATATATATATATATATATATATATATATATATATATATATATATATATATATATATATATGTGTGTGTGTGTGTTGTTTTGCACACTATGACTTTCACTCTTTTTGTTTACCTCCTTTTTAGAGTAACATTTTCATACATGTTCGAGGTCATCTTTATGATGCAATCGTTCCATCCATGATGGAGGCACAATCGTCGACATATTACCTCCCCTATAATAGGATTTTCGAGGTTTGTTGATGTTGAATTGTGGTAAACTGTAAACATAAAACAAAAAATAAATAAATAATAGAATCAAACCATTTTTGTATTATTGGTCGAAAAAGCAATTCACTCCAATTGTAACAAACACTTTTTGAGGTTGGTTATTAATAGTATTTGACATCTCAAAAAAGATCTCATTAAAGATGCTCTAAGATATTTAAACACATAATTCTTAAGTTGTTTCAAAATTCAAACATAAGCAACAAGTCACAACCTAATAGGAGAAACAAATATTAGATGTTATATGCTTCTTCTATTCTTAAAAAATAAATAAATAAATAAATAAATAATCCAGCATGTAGCACATGACATTCAACAAGTTTAATGAAGGCTTAGTAAAAAGGAGGAATTGGGTTCCAAATTTTTTCAGATAAAAAAGATTGATCAATAGCAATATTCATTGGGAATCAATTTCACTAAGCAATGAGTAGGTTTGATGTTTATACAAGTGAAATAAATTGAGGCTGAAACCACGTGGGCCAATAAGTAATGGAATTTTGGATATGGGCTAGCTATTTGTTGTGCCAAAGCCTAAAAATAATCTGAATTCAGAACCACTAGTTTTAATTTATTGGGCCTTTGATCTCTATGCGAGTTTAATTAATGATTTTAAATATTAAAGTTAAATTAAAAAGTATAGTAGTCATTTTATTTTATTTTTTGAATGTAGTTGAATTTGATAGGGAGAGTTATATATATATATATATATATATATATATATATATATATATATAAACTTCAAAATATTATATATGTCGAACTTAAAATTTAAATATCATATTTATTTTTCTTAACATTTAAAATATCGTATTTTAAATTCTCTTAATCATTTTTTATATTTTATAATCAATTTAATTTATAAGAAAACTAATTGACCAAATTATCCTTCAATAACCTTTGTGTCATAAATTAGATATACCAAATTACCCCTAACCGTACTAAAGCTTCTTGAAAGATTTTACGTACATCAATGTCTTTTGAAACTGGAACGACAACCAAAGTCATCGCTATTCGTCATTTTCATGTTCTCTAAGCCTCAAGACATCATTCAATATCTTCGCACTTGTTTGATATCTTGATTCAAGTAGCTTCTTTTGATTCTAAGTTTATAGGGTTTTCGTCTGGATGTCATTTCCATATTGGGATTTATTGAACTCTGACTCTCAAGGGCAACGTGTGGGTTTAAAAAGGAGAGACTTAATTAGGATTGCATAAAATGGTTTCGATAGATGAATTCACGGTGGTGGGCGCGATAGAGGGAAAGGTTCTAACAAGGAATTGCATAATCGTGTTTTGTAGATTGGTAAAGGCAAAAGAGCAAGTTATGGCTACCACCTCACATTTGAGGCAACAGATGGTGGTGGCAAGATAATAGTATATAAACTTTAAGGAACATATGTCTACAAGTTAGTGTTAAGAATATACAAATCATATCCTTTAATGCTCTTAAAATCAATGAACTCCTAGTTGATGCCAACAAGTTTGTCCTAATTGTCTTCTTTCTTAATGTGTTGGTTAAACAAGGGCTTTTATGTAAATAATTACAATTACAATATGAAATGATCAGATGACTGAAATGAAATGAAGCTTTATATGTGATGTAGTCTTAAGGGTTAAATCTTACACATTCTTTTAGTACTTTACTTCCTTAAAGAATGTCTTTGAAATATTCTTTTTAGTTCCTTCCCATGGTTCCAAAATTTATCCCTTTTAGAAAGTAACGCCTAGTTCCCGAGTTTAAGCAAAGAAAAGAAAAGAAGAGAAAAGAAAGTAAGGAGATAAAAGAAGAGAAAGGAAAAGAACATAAATTTGTCTTTTGTGTTTCTAAGTTTGAGAGAAGTGTAAGGAAATTAATTATTTTGTTCTTTCTTTCCAAATCCTTCCAAATCCGAAGGAAAGTTAGGAGGGAAAGTGATCCTTCCATTTCTCTCCACTTCCTTCCTTTAATAAAACTCAGGAACACCAATTTCTTTTACTTTCTTCTCATTTCCTTTCTTTTCTCTCGTTTAGTTGAACTCGGGAACGGGGTGTAAAAGAGGGGTACTTTTGGAAGAAAGTAAAAGATAAGCATATTTTTTAGCATATGCAACATTGGATTATATATATATATATATATATATATATATATATATATATATATATATATATATAAAAGGGGAAACATTGGTCATAGAAACTTAAAACTATCTAATTTCTTTTATACTTGTTGGATTACAATTCAATTGTTTGATTGTTGTATGTTGATTCATGATGGTGGTCGTGGTGGTGGTAGAAAAGGATGATATAGTGGCTCTAAAGGGGATTTGGATAGTATAGCTTTACCAAAACAGGATTTTGGCAACTTGGTACCCTTTGAGAAGAACTTTTACCTACCTGGTAATGAGTCAGTGAAACTACTATATGTAAGTGATAGAAGAAGGGTTAGGATAGTTGGGGGTAATTCGGTACATTCAGTTTATGGCAATATTGGTTTTAGTATTGAAGGGTATTTTCGTCAATTATATTTTTCATAAATTAAAATGATTATAAAATATAAGAACCGATTAAAAGACTATAAAAACTAATTTTAGGCAAATATGATATTTTAAGTGTTAACAAGAGTAAATTTGATATTTAGATTTTCAAGTGGACAAATACGATATTTTTTTTGGAAAGGGAACCTCTTTAACGAGGGTTCCGGGTCTTTCGCGCGCCAACTAATCCACCGCTGCAAACATGAGGCTATGTTTCATGCCGTAGAGTCACTGCAGACGAACATCTATGACCACAAGAGCTGAGTAGTGTCACGATTTGAACATGTATCAATATGTTATCCACCATGTCTTCCACATGTCTTATAAAGTCACCACAACTCAAGTGATTGACAAATACGATATTTTGAAGTTTAACAAGGCATATACAAACTTCTTCCAATACAACACAATCATATGCCTTCATGGACGTTTTTAGTGAGATGTCTAGTTAAAACTTTCTTAATAGTTCGATAATTTGATTGGTATCTTTCCTTGTTAATAATATAAATATACCAGTTTTTATTACATCTTTTTCCGCATATAAAAATAGTGTAATTTGTTTTTATTAGAAGAGTGTACAAAATTCATAAGGTTGTTTGGATAATCTTTTAATAAAATCATTTATATATATGTCACCTTTGAATCAGTCAACATTTAATTTGATCAAAGCTCTAATGAATCAAAAACCTCTAAATAATTAAAAAATTATAAGATGCGTTTAGTTTTAGAAAAATAAGTTGTTTTTTAGAAAAAATTCTAAAAAGGAAAATGAGAATTTTGAAACGCGTTCAGTTCAATAATATATTTAAAATTTTCACGGGAAAAAAAAATAAAATTTACCGTTTTCCAAAATAACCAAGAACTTAGGTTGTGTTTAGTTACGGAAAAACAGTTTTCATTTACTGTTTTCGTTTTCCCTTTTTCAGTTTTCGTTTTTCGTTTTCAGTTTTCATTCGAAAATTTAGAAAACGCGTTTAGTTAAAACTTATTCATTTTTCATTTTCAGTTTTAGAAAATTAGAAAACGCGTTTAGATGTGTGTATTTCTATCGGTTTCCATTTTTAGAAAACGGTAGCGGTGGTAGGGTTGGGGTAGGGGCAGCGGCGGGGGCAGTTGTGGTGTCGATGATGGTAACGGTGGTGGTGGTGGCGGTGGTGGTGATGACAGGCAGCGGTGGTAGCGGTGGTGATGTTGGTGATGGGTAGTGGTGGTGGTGATGGTAGGTCGGAGACTGTGGTAGTGGTGTTGGGTGGGAGTGTGTGTGGATGTGTGTGTGTTTGTATGTGTGTGTAGATGCGTGTGTGTGTTTATGGGGGTGGGGGTGGGGGCAGCGGCGGGGGGCAGTTGTGGTGTCGATGATGGTGACGGTGGTGGTGGTGATGACATGTAGTGGTGGTAGCCGCGGCGGTGGTGGTGATTGCGGTGGCGGTGGTGATGTTGGTGATGGGTAGTGGTGGTGGTGATGGTAGGTCGGAGATTGTGGTAGTGGTGTTGGGTGGGAGTGTGTGTGTGTGGATGCGTGTGTGTGTTTATGGGGGTGGGGGTGGGTGTGGGTGTGTGTTTTTGTGTGGGTGGGTGGGTGTGTGTGTGTGTGTTTGTGGGGGTGTAGGGGTAAGTGGGTGTTGGGGTAAGTGGGTGTTGGGGTATGTGTGTGGGGGTGTGGGTGTGGGTGGGGTGGGTGTCTGTTTATGGGTGTGTGTGCGTGTGTTTGTAGGGGTAGGGTGGGTGTTTGTGGGTTTGTGGGTGTGTGTTTGTGGTTGTGTGTGGGGGGGTAGGTGTGTGTGTGTGTGTTTGTGGGGGTGGGCTTGAGAGTGGGTGGGTGTGGCCGTATGGGTAGGTAGGGGTGTGGTGGGTTAGGGATGTTAAGGTGGAAGTATGTAGAGGTGGGAGTGAGTGTGTGTTTATATTTTAGAAAAATTTTGGAATTAGAAAAATGTGAAAAACAATAATTATTGATTTTCCAAAACTTTCTAACTTCTTTGTAATTTTAGAAAACGGCATGAAAATTTTAGAAAAATAGACGAACTAAAAACGTTTTCAAAATTCTCATTTTTCTTGGAAAAATTTTCCGAAAAACGATCCATTTTTCCGCAACTAAACGCACCCGTAGAAATTTTTAAGAAACCGATAATAATTGTTCTCCGCATTTTTCTAATTCCAAAAAAATTCCTAAAATATAAATACACACCAACCTTTGTGCCACCCCACCCATCCACCCATTCCCAAGCCCCAACACCCCCACTCCCATCCCAACCAAAGCCACCCCTCCTACCTCACATTCACTCTCACAAACACAAACACCCACTACCACTATCGTAATCACCGACTCACTATCACAACAACAACTACCACCACCACCACCACCACCCTGTTACCACCGTGACCGCTACCGCCACCACCGTAACCGCTACTTCCACCGCCATATCCACCACCACCCAACCTTACAATCACCATCGTTTTCTAAAAATGAAAATCAATAGAGAAATAAACATTCAAACACGTTTTCTAATTTTATAATGGAAACTTATTTCATTTTTCTGAAAACTGAAAAGGAAAAATAATTTTTTTTTAATTAAATGTGTTTTCAACTCTTTGGACAATCTTGAAAGCTCGCAACACATTTTGCTCCTTGCAGACAACATTAACATTTCTACTTTTAATTGGATTAAAAATAGATCTAAACTTCATTCGATTTATTGGTCGGTTTGGTTTTTGTCGCCTAATTTAAACTCTTTTTGTATCGACTTAAGCTCCTTGCCTATGTCCTTGTTTTTCTTGTTTTAACGCTAATGTCTTGATTGCCGTTCAAATAAAACATAAAATAAAAAAGACTAAACTGCAAATTTGGTCCCTGTGGTTAGCAAAAAAATGTGGATAAGGTCCAAAATCTTTTCGACTTGTATGGATGGTCCAAAATCAGAAACATTTTGTGGTTTTGGTCCTGATAAAGTTAAAATGACTATTTTGCCCTTTTAATTTTATTTTTACACTTTTTTAATGTTTTTTTTACTATTATTATAATTCAAAAATAAAAAAAAAATATCAAAACCCCAACTACCCCTCTAATCCCTCTCACTATCTTTGACTTTCTCTCTAATTCTCTTTCTCTCTCTTTGACTTTCTCTTCCATCTTCTTCTTCCTCACATTCACCTGCAAACTAAACATTCCATACATATATCTTAGAGTATGATATCAAAATTAAACTCTAGCTCCATTTTCAAAGGTTGAATCCAATCAGGTTTCAATATTTCAGTTCCATCTTCCCTTCCTAATTTCAAAATTAGTTCCATCTCCCCACATGTAGAAGAAGAAACCCAATTTTCCACCGGAATCACCTCCTTCTTCCTTCTCTGCCATCACCATCATCATCATCAAGCACCCATCACTTTTCTCCTTAGCACTGATGTCAATATCTCCACCATTATCTTCGACGGTCTCGTCCTCAAACACATGCAACACCAAAGAAGCATCAGAGCAGTGAGTTCAATCTAGTATTGGTGGCGAATAGGACGAATCCATATTCAATGTTCTTGATTTCGTATCCATTTCAGATGTCATCGGAAGATATGAATCAACCTAATTACTTATTGGGTTCTTATTATCGGACTTCCAATCAGAAAACCCATCAACCAACCACACACCAACAATATCCCCGTCCTCTACTAGCCTTTCATCTCGAGTTTACATTGTGTCTACTCCGGGTTGGTGCTTGCGATGGTCACTAGATTGCTGATAGGTATTGGTGGATTTACAAAATTTTTAATGGGTCTTGTTGTGTTTGGATAGGATGTTTCCTTTTCTTTATTAATTCCATATTTCACGGTATTTATATTTATGGATTAGATCCAATGAACTTTGATTTTGAAACAAAACCAAGATTGATTTTCATATGTTTTGATTTCTAGTCAAGCAGAGGTGATGGTTTGATTGAGAATATGGTTTGTATTTAAGGGAAAAAAAAAGCACCCAATAGAAGATGTCGATTTAGTATATTTTTGTTAGTTTTTCAATGGATCTGGATTAAAGATGCAAACGAAATGGATGAAGATTAAGATGATTTAGTGTATGTGTGTGCTTGTTTTTAGTGTATTTGGACGAAGATGAAGATGCATATGTTCTTCAACCCAATAAATCTAAAAAACAATGGTGGAAGGTGGGGCTATGACCTGTGTGTATGTGTGTGTGTGATAGTGATAGAGAGAGAGAGGGGGTACCGTACTACCGTATGTGGGGTTGGATTTTTTTTTTTAAATTAAAAAAGAATTATACTAAATAGAAAAAATGCAAAATAGAAATTAAAATGGCAAAGTAGTCATTTTAACTTTTCCAAGGACCAAAACCACAAAATGTTTTCGATTTTGGACCAGTGGTGCAAACTGAAAAAATTTTGGACTCCATCCATATTTTTTGACAAACCACAGGGACCAAATTTGCATTTTTGTCAATAAAAAACAAAAGAAAAAAAAACTAGCCGCAACCATACATTTTCTGTTTATCAAACTGACCCTTAATTTGAGAAATAATGGAAACTTGGAGGTAGTGAGTAGTCCATACTTTCAAAATACAAGGGGGACAAAGATAAAATGGTCTATCAACACTTTTTGATCAAGCGCACGATTAGAACGCCAGACCTGTTTTGCTAATATGCACCCGTTAAAAATATCGGTTAGACGGTCACCAAAGTCCAAAGGTGTATAATTTAGGACCAGTCATCACATCAGAATCGTTCCCAACAATTATACGAACCCAAATTTCAGTAAAACCCCAGAAAAATAAAAATCGAAATTCCACCCAAAAACGTCAAGAAAAATGGGAAGCACAAATGCCCTCATCTTCAATCTTCATCTCAACACAAACAACTGCTTCAGCTGTGTGAACTCTAGAACAAATCCTTCAACTTCTTTGCAAATCAGTCAAAGAAAAACCCCTTTGAGTATCTCAAGTAAAAGACATAGAAAGAACAGCAAAGTTGTTTGCTTTGCCATTGAAGATGTGCGGGAGATGCAGAAAAGGCTTGGAATCGGGGGTACGGGAACAGTAGGTAAGTTCGATAAACCAAACTTGAATTCTCGGTCTTCTTGATTGATTAATTTGAACATCTACCCAATCAAGTTTATGGGTTTTTTTTTCTTCATATTCAAACATATTTGAGAAATCCCTTTGGTAACTTTTCGTACATGAATCTTGAGGTGGACTACTAATAACTTTGTTATTTAGTTTTAGTTGATTTGTAAGGTATGGAACAATCTTATCTTATCATGATTTGATGACAGACTCATTTGTTACTTGAATGATGTTTTCTTGAATTTTGTTATTTATGAGGTTTAATATATTCCAAACATAGTTTTAAGGATTGCATTAGGGATGCAATTGCAATATTACAGTTAATTAATAATTATTGTAAAAGGGTCCATTTTTACCATCTAAGATTCTAAGTTATGTAGATTTATGAACTCAAAGTATTGGTCGATTGACCTAATCTATTGAAACTACTGAATTAGTAGATTGCATGTTTTTTTGCATGAATTATGAATCTGTTTTGTTAATTAGTAAGCTATTCAGCAAGTTTAATGTTTCATTAATAGTTCTTCTGTTGTTATATTCATGGTTTTTTTTTACATATAGAGGTGGCTGATGACATCAAAGAAGATGAACTCGCAAACAATGATCCAAATACCGAAAGTGCCCTTTACAATTTTCTATACCCTGATAAAGAACTCCTCCCTGAAGACAAAGAAATGACCATTTTTGATCATCTTGAAGAGCTTCGAGAGAGAATCTTTGTGTCAGTTTTAGCAGTGGGGGCTGCTATTTTAGGATGCTTTGTATACTCAAAAGATCTCATCATGATTCTCGAAGCTCCAGTTAGAACTCAAGGTGTTCGATTCCTTCAATTAGCTCCTGGAGAATTCTTCTTTACAACCATAAAGGTCATATTATATAACCATTGGGTATTTCATTACCATTTCACGCTCCATTTTTCGAGGCTAATTTTGTCTTTTTGTATACAGGTATCAGGGTATTGTGGTCTTCTTCTTGGAAGCCCAGTGATTCTTTACGAAATCATAGCTTTTGTTCTACCTGGATTAACAAGATCCGAAAGAAAATTTCTCGCCCCAATTGTTCTTGGATCCTCGATTCTTTTCTACACAGGGATCGTCTTCTCCTACATCGTTCTCACTCCAGCAGCTTTAAACTTCTTTGTTAATTATGCAGAAGGAGTTGTTGAATCATTATGGTCAATTGACCAATACTTCGAGTTCATATTAGTACTCATGTTCAGCACAGGATTATCTTTCCAGGTAAAACCATTACCAAACCCACCCTTTTCTCTGTTTTACAATTACTTTGACTTATAAAGTCAAACATGGTAGTTTTGACTTTTATGAATTATATATAGGTTCCAGTTATACAACTTCTGTTAGGGCAAGTTGGATTGGTGACTGGTAATCAAATGTTATCAGTATGGAGATATGTTGTAGTTGGAGCTGTGATTGCAGCTGCAATTGTGACTCCATCAACGGATCCTTTGACTCAAATGCTTTTGGCGGGACCCCTTTTGGGGCTTTACTTTGGTGGTGCATGGACTGTTAAGTTGATTGGGAAGTGATTGGGAATGAGAAAGAATGTATTTAGATGTATGATGATATTGTTTTGTTATGTGTTTTTTTTTTTTTTTTGTAGAATGTATTATTTGTTATTTGTTAATGGTACATAGCATGTTGATTATAAGAACAAATGATATACTACTTTGTTACACATTTGCACACTTCCATATATGGTTTCTTGTTTTTTTTGCAACTAGTTCTCAAATGTATTATTATTTTGTATAACCCAATGTATTTAGCCCAGTATAATATGATTGCAATACTCAATACCGATTTCATGGAAAAATACTTGCAATAGAATAAGTAACCCAAGTAACTGTAACTATGGCAATTTAAATAGACGTGATTAAAAGTTAAGATGATAATAAACATTACTCAAATTTGCACAACTAAAACAAAGAAACATAGATTTCTAAAAGAAAGCAACGGAAGAATGGATAAGGCTTCCTAAAGAGCAGGACTATTGTTAACTAAAACAAAGAAACTTTCGACCAACGTGCTTTACTCCAACACATATTGCGCCAAAAACGGTTACCCTTCACCGCGGACATAAGAATATACAAAAACCGGTCGTCGTATAGTTTTCAGGTAAGTTTGACTCAATCTTTACACTTTTATTGACTCAATTTATTAGTGATTATTTACTTTTTTTTTATCATGGAGTGTTGGATGGGAAATATGATGATTTATCAGAAGAGTTGTTTTGTATGGTTGGAGGAATTGATGAGGTTATTGCTAAGGCTGAGAGGATTGCAAAGGAATCAGCTTCGTAGATAGCAAAAAATCATATTTTTTTGGAGGTTTTATTAGAAGAAGAAGAATTAAGCGATTAGATGGTTTAATTTGGAAGTGTCATTCTCAATATTTGTTGCTAATGTTATTCCCTTTGGGGTTTTTAATGTTTAATTTTGGGTTTCGGCTTTACAAGAAATTATTGGTTGCATTGGTTGGTTGTTGAAATATTACAAAAATCATTCATATTGTTTATTATTCTGAGTTTATGTCTTCACTTTTAGCAGACTGTGGTTTGCAATTTTGTCAAACACAGGTAGTTATTCATAAAAAAAATAATAAAAAAATAAAAATAAAAAAAAAACTTTTTAAAATATCTTCAAATTGCCAACAAATGGCCTTGTTTTTATTGTGACAATTTTAACATACCTTTCTATGAAAAGTTTAGGGAAAAAGATATGATATTTGATTTTGAGACTTCTTTTTGATGTAATATTTTTTATACTTTCATTTAAACTTATTTTAAATTTTTATAAACTTTTTTATACTTTCATACAACTTATTTTTAACGAAATTATTTTTAAATGTTATTTAAAGGTATTAAAAAGTTATAAAAAAAAGTCTATGAAACGTTTTTTAAAATGTTGTATAACAAATTTATGATTTTTTTTAAAAAAAAATGTTGTAAAAAGTTCTAAAAAAATCTTTAAAAGGTGTAGAAAAATAAATTTGGGACGAATTCATGAAAAAACTTAAAGTTCAAACAAAATTTGTAACAAAATTAAAATCTAGACCAAAGGTGTAAATTTTGAAAAACCGATTTGATATATTCAAGTTCAACATAAGATATAAGGTAAACATACTAAAATGATTTTGTTGAAGCAAAGTTTGTTTCCAAAATTCAATATCCTTTTACTTTTTGTGTTCTATTTTTGGAAGTATAATAAATAGATAAGGTGTTACTTATAATTTTTAAAAATACATGTCTACACAACTTTTTCAAAGATATGCCACTATTATAGGCTAATCAACTTTATCTATGCTACTGATAAAGAAAATACACCTATGGAAACTTCACAAACACCACAAAGCACCAAACTATCAAATGACAAAGAAAGATATTAAAATATAAGATATCTAAATATAATATCACCATAATAAGCATGACATCTTTTGTTCTTGAAAAAACATAAACTTAAAAAAAATTCAATTAAAGAAAATGAGAAAACTTTTCAAGCAGACACCACAGCAGGCTGATGATCCTGTAACAAATCTGTTCCTGTTTCTTCTCCATCAACACTTTTCATTTCAGAATTAATAGGATTCAACTCTTCACATTGAGGTGAAGCAACAGTCTGTTGATGTTCTTCATGTTCATTCTCAATTTCAGGTGAATGATTAGGCTGCTGTTCAGATTGCTCAATGTTTTCATTTTCAGGGTGAAAATTGATGGGAAACTTTGTGACTCTAGGCTTATCAGCCAAAATATTTCTTTGAACTTTATCAATCAATACTTTTTGCGGAGGTTCTTCTTTCAAATGTTCATCTTCATAATCATTGTTTACATAGTATCCTACTCGAACAAATTCTTGTCCTAGATATGAACATGTCAATAGCAGAACTGTAACACCGATTATATCCTCTTCACGGATTTTTAATGCATCTGGAGGGTCTGCCTAAAAATGGATTTGATTTAGTTTGATGATTTCAGAACAAAAAAGTATGAAATTTTAGGGTTACCTCAAAGACAAAGCGATAGTTCCCAACATTAATTGGCCCAACCAGGACGCTTTCGAGAACTTGATCATAGGTTTCGTCTTCAGCAGATCCCACATAAGTAAGTTTCCATTCCAAATCTGTGAAAATAAAATTAAACCAAAAATCAGGTATCGAAACAGAAATCATGATTTGAAACTCGAGCTAATAGTTGTTCTATTGATCTCTACTCAAATCAATAAGTTCAAATAACAGAAATTCATGAAACGGAATCCAAAAACTACATGAAACTCATCGAAACACATACAATTCCTCGATTCGATTCGAGATAAAAGAACGGTAACAAAGGAATATGTAAACAGAAGTAGCTTAGATGGATATGAAGTTACCGTCTTTGAGAGAAAGCAAGCACTCATAGGAGATTTCGAACTGGAAAGGACTAAGGAAGGGCGCTGGATTGTTTAATACACTAACATTTGTTAGATTCACAGCGCTCATGATTATCTCTTCAGGATGAAGGTTAAAAAACCCAGATCTCTGTGTTTATTGTGACCTAATTTTACAAAATTATAGAAAACTGTAAGGCGAAATAAATAACAAATCAGGATTACTCACACAGAAAATGAAACAGATTCACGGGAAGAAGAATTGATGAGTAACTATAAAGAGATTTAGAATTTTGGCGGGACAAAATTTTGGCATCCCGCGTATACAAGAGCTTGGGGTTTTGGATCGGGCTCGTATGCCTTTTGGGTTGAAAAAAGGAAGCAACAAGTTTTTGATATATAGTAGGTTATAAACTGTAGATTCTACGTTTTTGATATATACTAGGTTATAAACTGTAGATTCTACGTTGACAAAGTAAAATAACACATATACTACAACAAATACTAATATTTAATCATATGTTTGCAAACATTTATTTTTATACAAAGTTTGATAAATTAAACGTAATTGTACATCAATATTTTAAACTAATATGATTATGTTGTGCAATAAGTAGAAAATTAAATAAGTTGATCATGTGTTAAGAGTAATTTGGACCGACCGGCTAAACAACTCATTTATTTGATGCTTCATATTGGTTTTTTCTAGCCTTTTGTAGTGATTTTTAATTTATCCATTCGGATGTCAAAAAAATGACTAAATTGTATAGTAAATATATAAAAATAATTAATATTGATTAAAAAAACTACTCTTAAATTTTATAATAAATTTTTCCATGTTTAAAATCGTCTGTAAGGAGACCATAAATCATCACGAAACTGACCATAAATCATCTCGGTATTTGATATAGTTTCAATCAATTTGATAGCTTTTCAAGGTATTTTTCAATATTAGGCCGGTGGGTATGGGTAACGCCCATACCCACGTTATGGGTGTCACATCATCTTATTTTGTCCATAACATATCTATAAATATCAAAAGGAAATGGTGTTTTTTATATCAAACGGCGTTGAGAAGAAGCAAATCAGGAAAAAAGCAGAGGAATAACACGCGTTTCGTCCCGTTATCACCATCACGGCCGGTGGCATAACACCCGATAACGGCTAGCTGGGGCGGTGTTCCTGCCGCCATGGCGCCGTTAAGGGCCTGCCACATAAGCATAACGCCCGGTGGCGTTGCCCGCTCCGTATACTCTTATAGTTTCAAAAAAATTTCTATTTACATGTCATATATAAATGTTAGTAGTTTTAGGTTTTTTGCTAAGTTTAGTTAGTAAAACAAATGGCTCTACATTATGAAAAAAATTATGAAATCCCTACAAATTTGTAAAATACCTCGACATAGAATTGATAGTGACATCATTAATTTGGATTTTATATTACAATTAATCTCGATTTCAGTATTAGATAAATTTGCAAGGGCTTTTCTTTAGAAGAGTAATTCTATGACATAAACATAATAACATTGTAACGATCATCTAGAGTTTTCCAACATCAAAAAAATGGAAAGAGTACAAAGTACAAAAGCAAGAAAATGAAAACATGTCTAATATTACACCAAAGCAATATTACAAAGCTACAAACAAATAATAGAACTATAACATCAGAGTAACATGTCTAATATTACACAATAACAGGAAAAAGGCATCAACGGCTAACATCCCAAAATAGTGACAACAATATTTGAGTCGGGAGAAAATAGACAGACCTTATGTGAAACAAAACCGCCATAGTGACGATACTGAAGCCCATCATCTGCATGACATTGTTTTTTTCTGTTCGGCTATACTAACTCCAAAATTTGCATATCATTTTTCTGTAAACTTTCTTCCAATATTTTGCACTCAACAGTGTACTCAGTCAACTGAAACATATATAAAAAAAATATCACTATGTGTGCGAGAAAAAATTACAAATTATTGTGAAGACCCTCATCATCGAGTGGCTCTAACAGCAAGGTCTATTCGCTTAGTTTTTTTAGGAAATTTTGAGGTTAACTTCATCTTGTGTTAAGACTTATATCTGCCAAAACGTGGCAGCAAATTAAATACACGACAGAAAATTAGTATGTGATATCAAGAAAAAAGTAGACACAAAATTACTTGCATGTTGCAACAATCATAAATATCTTAAATACCTCACATAATATGGAAGATTAGGACACTATTGAGCCATACATCTACCAAAGAAGTATGTTTATGAAGTAAGCCTTTCATTGGGAATGTTAGATGCTTGGGGATCCAAAACATAATGTTGGACAATGGGAATTTCGATACAATTTGTTCACAATCAGTTTTACATAAGGTCTAAACTACTCCCCTGTGAACATTATACTTTGCATTTGCTGATATTAGTCAAGACAATCGTTCTAAATTCAAGGTTCCTAACTATTCTTTCTACATTTTTCTATAATATGGATTGTCATTGAATATGTCAGACTCAATGATTTTCATTTTCATACAATGAAATAAAATGGACTTTTTTATGTCTACTTACACATATAGGGAGCTTTACGTTGACGAAGAATGCATCCTCTTGCTAAACCACCCATAGTCGTTCCTTTATTTCCATCGCAACAGTCTCTATGTTCAAAAATCGAAATCTAATCACATTCAATAAACCCGAAACATATTTTGTATTGATTTTAATGGGATACAGTAGAATTATGAAAACATTTGAGTTAGATCAAAGCGGAAAACCCTTTTAGACTATGATTTTGGGGAAAAAAATACCTCGATTGTCGTTTAGAAGAAGCCACCAGAACCGTGATTTTAGGCAACCTGTAAAAACTTAAAATTTGTGTAAATAAACATGAAAAGATTCAAGGTTTACCTAAAATGTTAACGAAATACAGAGCTGAAAAATGAATCATGAAATCAATCAAGTGAGAGAGGATAGAATGTGAGGTTTACCTCTTCGTGTTCACCATGGTATGATCTGTGACTCTGAAACCTATCTTTGTAGGTGAGGCAGGAGCAGAAATAGGTAACAGACGGAAAATCTATTCAATGATACATAATTTGGCTCATCTCCATCTTACCCACCTAACAACAACAATTAAGATAAAAATGCCATTAAGAACATATAAGGAAAACTTCCTAATGAAAGTATGCTTTTATTTCCCAATAAAAATATACTAAAATGTTGTCATTTGACTATTTCATCAATATCCCAATAACCATAAGAAAAGTTCCAAAACAACCGTCACTTAATAAAAAAATCTAGAAAAGTACATTGTTGTTTATTGTATTAGACTAGAATATGGTTAGATGCAAGAAATGACAAACGCAATTCCACTTGTTTTTGCAATGTAGTAACCCTCTTTAAAATCTCAAATCAATATATATATATATATATCAGATTAGATATTAATTACAACCTATTTCTTTATTTACCCGAATTCTAAGAACTTGAAAATGCCTCTTAGGAATAAAACCTGCACGACCGAGGAAAAAAATGAAACTGAAAAATTGAACATATTAGAATTGGAAGATAACAAATCGACTGTAGCTTCTTCCCACCAGTGTAATAGACAATGTTGGCCTCCAATCTAGAACAACGATAAAGAAGGGAATGTTTTTTGTTTGTATGAAACTGAAATATGAAACCAAAATAGACTCCAACACTTTCACAAAAATGGCTAATCGTACAAAACCAAATATGATACAAACGTTTGACGAAAATTACCTGATGTTTACTCCTTCCGATTTTGTTTCCTTTGAGCTTCTGTTGATCAACTTTGGATTGAGAAGTCATGGCAGAAGAAACCGAGCATATTGCTGAGGAGGAAGTGCAGTAAGATTAAACCCTAGGGGATTTCGTTATTTTAAACTTTGAATCGATATCACTGGTTATTTGGTTTCCACACGATAGAAGACGAAATTTGGGGAGATAGAGGCGTGATTTATGGATGGTAAAGAAGAAAAGATTGAAGATAATTATATGAAAACCAAAATTGTACCAAATTCGACGGCTGAAGTTTAGGCATACCGATTTGATTACAAATTTGATATCGATTGATGAATTGGGCGGGAGAAAATAGACAGAATCGATGGAGAGAATGCCACATGGCAGAAAGCTGGTATAAAAGATGGTCATGTGGCATGTAGGGGAGGTTTTTATTAAAAAGGGAGATTTACTAGGAGTCTAAGAATGGCAATGGGTTGGGTTGAAAATCTCTATTCAATCTATAACCTATTTAAGTAAAAAATAAAATCAACCAGTTCATCGGTTTTATTGTTACCGCAAGGACAGTCTTTATCGAAGGTTGGTTTGTTTCTCAAGAATCTTGTTTTTACACATGGTCAATTGTATGTTGCTTTATCCAGGGTTCAAAGTAGACATGGATTAAAATTGTTTATTTTAAATAAAGATGGTAGACTAACAAATAAAACATCAAATGTTGTGTATAAAGAAGTTTTTAGAAATTTGTAAAAAAGTGTGTATAATTTTATTATTTATATAAATTTCAGTATTTGTTTTAGTTAAAATTATATTTCATTTTATAAAATTATAACTTTTTTGCATATCTACAAATACAAAATACCAATTTCATATTCAAACCACTAAAGGTTCGTAATTTCAACCAATAATTATGTTATTATCATATTACTGCAAAACATATACACTTTAATTTGTAAAGATTTTATTATCAATTATCAATTTTAAATAAATAACTTACAATTTAATTAAAAAATAAATTTTAATTTCTAACCCGTGGTGCCCACGGGTTATAATCTTGTTTTTGTTATATATTTACTAGGAGTCTAGGAATGACAATGAGTTGGGTTGAAAATCTCTATTCAATCTATAACCTATTTAAGTAAAAAATAGATCAACCGGTTGATCGATTTTATTGTTACCGCAACCCAACCTGTTTAATAACCAGGTTGAACCTGGGTTGATTCATTCGTATTTTCAAACCCTAAAAATCAAAATAAAATTCTATTCTTTCCGCCCAAAATTATTGTCTATGTTTGACTTTTTAACTCTCTTTTGTTTAACTTTGACCTTAAATAAATTAATTTTTGCTATATAATTTTTTATGCAAGATATGTGAATAGATTGTTTTTTAAATATATTTTCATTGTTATAAGCTTCATCAAAAATTATATAACACAAATAAAATTATTTGTGGTTAGAGTTGACATGGAAAGACTTCAAAAGTCAAATGTTGACAATAATTTTGGAACGGAAAGATTGAAAATAATGGAATCATAAGTCTATAAATTTATCACACAAACACAAATCAAATATTTATAACCATAAAATATTATAAATGTTTAATTTATAAATTATACGCAATTCAACTTTCAATTTCACCAACTCAACTTCCAATAACGATTACTAACCAATATTTTTTCGTTTTCTGATAAATAAAAAATAATCAAGATATAGTAGTCAATTAAATAATAATACTATATAAACTAAAATTAAAAAATATTTAGGGTGTGTTTAGGAGTGTTTTTTCATCTCAAAAGTGCTTTTGGTAAAAAAAAATGTTTATTGGCTTATGGTTTTTTTTAAAAGAAGTTTTTAAAACGTTTTTGGGTTAGTTTTTGTGGTGGGAAAAGCTAAAAAGTCAATAATTTGATTTTAAAAAGTGTTTGACTTAGCTTTTTAGAGATAAAAATGATAGGAAAAAGCTAAAAAGTTATAAAAAAGTTAGGATTTTGTAGCTTTTTAATTTTTTTTTTGTCAATCAAAAAAGTTGTTTGAAAAAACATTTTTGAACAACCCAAGTATTTTTTTGAACTTATTAGTTTTTTGAACAACTAATAAGCTAATAAGCTAATTTGAGAAGCCCTCCTAAACACTAATTTAAAAATTTTTAATGTATTGAAGGGTTGTAAACATGTTGAAAATTTTAACCCTAATTCAACTCATTTAATTAAATACACTAGACGGGTTGACTTATTCAACCAAACCAGTTGAAAATATCAACACAACCTACTAATTATTAGCTTGGGTTCGGATTAAGATTGTCTGCCCTATATATTACTAATAAAAAAGATAAATCAAACTAAAAACGAAGAAACTCAACACCGTGTTTTTGAAGGAAATATAATACATGGTTTGGTTTTTGTATTATAACTTATAAGAAAGTGAATATTTATGTTTTGTTTGATTTTTGTTGTAATCAATCTTGAAAAATAACCTAATGGAACTGGAATCCAAAAACAGAACGTTATTTTACATATCATTTAATAATTATAGTTGATTTTTATTTTTTATTTTTTAGAATGTTTTAATGTTATTAGGGGTGCAAACGAGCAAAAGTTACTCGTGAGCTACTCGGGATCGACTCGTTAAAATCTCGACTTGAAACCGATTTTAAATGAACCCGAGCCGAGCTCGAGCTTACTATTAAACTCGTTTATTAAACGAGCTCGAGCTCGAGCCTATGTCATTAAGCTCGATTAGGCTCGCGAGCCTATATATAATATAATTTATTATTATTATTATTATTATTATTATATATTAAAATAAAAAATATTTGAGGAATTAGGGATTTAGGGTATTAGTAAACGAGCTTCTTAACGAGCTTGAACCGAGCTTAAGCTTGTTTAGGCACCATAGACAAAAAACGAGCCGAGCTCGAGCCCGAGCCGATCTTGTGTAATTCCTTACGAGCTTGAGCCTAGCTTACTATAAGAAAGCTCGAATCGAGCCGAGCTCGAGCTCGAGCCTCGTATAACTTAAACGAGTTCGAGTCGAGCCTAGCATGGTCAGGCTCGGGCTCGGCTCGTTTGCACCCCTAAATGCTATATCTTGTAAAATTATGTGACCAATCTTGCAAAACCATAAAACCGAATAAAAAAATATAACTATTTTCCATATAATAACATTACAACAGATCCAACGTAAAATATATAGATTCCCCTTTTACTTGATCAAATCGCCCAAACCAAGTTCAATTAAATATTTTTGAAATGTTTGGTTGTTTTATATATAAAAATCATTTTTTTTTAATTAAAAAAGTGTTTTGAGACGAATTTTTGTAACATTTATAATTTAATAATCAACTATTTTCAAAACAAATTGATAGCCATCATAACCTATTCTATGTGTGAGGGTTCTTGGTGTATGTTGACTTCTTCCTGAAATCCCAAAACCCCCGTAAGAACGCCGATAGAGAGCTGAAGAGAAGAGAAGAGAAGAGAAGATGAGCAAAGAAGACAAAGAACGGCTGAACCAGTTATTAGTCCACCATCTCAACACCATCCACGAAACTTTCCAGGTACGATTTACTTTCTACCATCACCAATAATTTTAAATAAATCAGAGCTCTTCGATTCAGAAATCCCTTTTATATTGATCACCATCAGAAACTGATTCTAGGTTTTGAATCAAACTCCGCCGTCTTCGCTCGATAAAGGAAGCTGGGATGACGTTGTCAAATTGGGCGAACATCTCTATAAACAGGCCACTACTGGTGATTCCATTCTTCTCTCAAATTTTGAAAATTGGATTTGAGATTTCGACTTTTGGTTTCATTTATTGAACATAAATTGTTTAACGGTTGTGGTGTTGTGAAGTCGGGATGCTTTGGACTGGAGAAGGGCCTGATGCAAAAGCACTCGAGGAAACCATGGCGTCTTATTCCAATTTGCTACAAGGATTCCTTTTGCTTTCACATGGAAGTAAGATCGGTGCAGGATCTACCCTTTCAGCTTGCATCCATGCATCTGTTAAACAGGTTATCGATTGCAGCTTTATGCTGCTAAAAGAATCCGTTGCTTCCTATGGTAATCTCCCATTCCTTCTTCCACAAACACACATATTCAATACATCTCTATTGATAATATATGTGTCAAATATGCAGGAAACAACAGCAAAGCACATAAACTTTCTATTCCTCAGATTGTAGGCACTGTTTGGGATGCGTGTTCTGCTCTTAAAAAGACTCCTGGAACAAACATTACAGCCATAGGCCGATCCATGACTCAAATTGCAGTTTCTGTAAAAGATGTTCTTCGTGAGATGAAGGAGCTTAAACCCACTATCAATGAGGTCTCAAAACCCACTTCCAATGAGGTTTCAAAACCCGATAATGATGATGCACACGAAAGTGACAACTCATCTGAGGGAGATTTAGGGAGTGACTTGTCACCAGAAGAGATGAAAGTTGCAGAATTAGCCATCAATGTTGTGTCTGAAACACTTTCAACAATCAAAGAAATTATTCGGTCAATAACGGGTCTACTCAAAAACCCACAAACCGAAAATGAAAGTGATCAAACAGTGGATTCTTTAGAGAAGTTGTTGGTGATTTGTAAAAGTATGGGATTGCAGGTGGATGAGATTGGAGCGTGTCTTTATCCCCCTCAAGAAGTGTCTGCCATTAGAGGTGCTTCTGAGAAAATGATGAGCTTTGTTGGTGAAATGCAGGTGGAAGTGGAGAAGATTAAGGGGAATTCAGATGCTTTTGTTCATGCGAGTAATGGTTTGATGAATTGTTTGAGGGAGTTGGAGTTAGGGTTAGGATGTTCTTCAGATGATGAACTTGTGGGTGAAATGGAAAATCTTGTTGTGGATGATTAGAGATTGATTCTTGTTGCAATTTGATAGAGTATTTTGAATGAATTGTTATAAGTTTTAAGACGTTTTGGGATAATATGATGATGTTGATTCGTATGTTTATACCTTTTTTTGGGTTATTTTTTTTTTAAATGAAGATTTTTCAACAATTTTGCTGTTTTTTAAAACTTTCTATCATAAAAATAGATTATTAAAATGTCATCATCTAAAGAAAACCGATTATGAAAGTTACAAAAAGACCCTTCAACTTCATACCACTTCATATTGCAGCAAAAAAATGATGTACGAATTTACAGAAAGACCCTTTAACTTCAAATAACTTCACAATGTTTCACCAAAATGATATTTTATGTAACTCAACCCTTTCTTTCTTCACTGAAACACATCCTTCGAGAAAACACACAAACAACTATCAGATGATAATTAGATTCATTCATGTCCCTCCTCAAGCTTCAATACCTCCTCAATCGCCTCAAAACCTTGCCAAAACCCACCACAAAGTCCTAAGAAGAGCTTCAATAAACCCTAAAAATGGAGTTCTTAGTACCACCGCACCACCACCACCACCACCACCACCGTTGGTCACCACCGACTCCGGCCTGCTCTTCCGAGAAAAGATTCTCTATCTCAAAGCCCTAGAAGTAAACCCCACAAAAGCCCTACAAAAAAACCCAAATTTCCGATCAACCTCACTCCAATCCCTAAAATCCGTGGAGAATTGTCTCTCTTCAATGGGAATCCAACGTTCGGAATTCGGGCGTATCTTCGATATGTACCCTCAGCTTCTCTCCTGTGATCCCCACTCCGATCTTTACCCCGTATTCGATTTCCTATTAAACGACGTGGGTCTCCCTTATTTTGAGATTCACAAATCGATACTTCGGTGCCCTAGACTTCTGATATCCAGTGTAGAAGATCAATTGAAACCCGCATTGTTGTTTCTAAGAGAATTAGGGTTCGTGGGTCCTGATAAAATCACCTCCCAAACGACACTACTGTTGGTTTCAAGCGTAAAAGGCACACTGATGCCCAAATTGGATTTCTTGATTGGATTAGGGTTTTCGTATGAAGAAGTGGTTAACATGGTGTTGAGATCACCTAGGTTATTAACATTCAGCATCGAAAACAACTTTAAGCCCAAAGTCAGCTACTTTTTGAATGAAATGAAAGGGGATTTAAGCGATTTGAAGAGGTTTCCACAGTATTTTTCATATAGCTTGGAGGGTAAGATTATGCGTAGGCATCGATTGTTGGTTGAGGAAGGGCTATGTGTACCATTGTGGGATATGCTCAAGATTAGTGATGGAGAATTCACTGCTAGGTTGATTGAAGCTAGGCTTCGGTTAGGTGATAAGAGATGATAGATCTTTGTAGTTTCACACAATTTTTACTGTTTTATAGCTCTATATTGTTGAATGAATCTTTGGCAAATAAAGTTCGTTGTATTTGTTATTATAGCATATGGTGAAGTAATCATGCATTGTTAATACAACATATTTCCATAAAGTTCTTCGTTTGTAACTTCAACATTTGATTTTGGGCATGTGGAAATGTAGTGACATGTTATTACTTGATATAGCTTAAGTGAGAATTTTTAGTAAATAAAATTATTGTCTTTGTCCTTTTCTACAAGAGGGTTATTTTGTGGTTCTCAGTGCGAAAGTATTAACTTAAAAGGAGTATAAGTATGCTGTTATAATGGATAAAAACTAAGATAGATTGCTTATACAATAATGCAAATATAGTTTGTCACAAAATAAACATCAATAACTCTCAATTTGCACTTTAAGTCATTAATTTTCTAATTGTACTCGATAAGCCATTTTTTTATGTTTCAATACACTGTCAAAGTTCCACTATTGGTTGCTATTATCAAGTCTTAGTAAGCCATAGTTAGGATAAAACAACTACATGAATATAAATGAGCAAATTCAATCATATTGGATGTCACGGTGGATGTCATATAAGGTGTTGGATACCACTTTACAAGGTTGAAATCCATTCCAATAATGTAATGATACCTAAAAAAAAAAAAGAAAAAAAACTTTATTGGCCTATTTAGTACAACTAAATATTAGTGACTTAGAGAGCAAACTGAATGTTGTTGGTGGCCATTATGTGACATTGACCTTTACTAACAGATTCTTTCATATATCTTAAGAAACACCCGTGCACGTGTAACGTTACAAGGGCATGTCCCTTGGAAGTATGTATGTGTGTATGTATGTATGCTTCGATTCTACTAAAAAAACAGTTTCATTTTAATGTTGGTTCTTTTAAAGTTTAACCAAACAAGCAAATGAAAATGAGCAACTAAACGAATAGATTTTCTTGTGAGAGTTTGCTTCTTTAAAAAATTATTTTGTACATGTTTGTTAAGGTGCTAAAGAATGATGATTTATTGATAATTCGCTTTGTTTAGATCCCTAGTTGCATAGATGTCGATGAAAAAAATCCAATGCATTCTTGCTATTGTAACTTACCCCTTAACTCATAACTTTCTATAAATTTGCATTCATCTATCTTTATCTTTTCTCCATTTCCTCAAGTGTAGTGTCATCTTCTTAGTTTTTTAAACATTATTTATCTTGATATCACTTTATTCGGACAAAATTTAATGAAACAAAAATAAGCAACTCAAATGAACCAATATTAGATGAAGTAAACGCAAAGAAATCTGGACTTTATTTCTTGAAGACCCAAACAAATGATACAACAACGAAAATAATTTATTAAAAAATTCCAACTTTACCCACAAACAGTATAAAACACAACACATCCCCCAAATCCTAAGTGAACCCTAAACTCTATTTCCCACCATATTTTGTAGGCTAATTGCACAACTTACAACCCAAAATCATCTCTCTATTCCTTCAAGTAGTCCTCAATTTGCACCAATGCCTGTCATAATCCATAACAAATTAAATATCTAAAAACATTTTTCAAAACATAAAATTAAAAATTTATATATATAAACACCTCAATTGCAATTTGAGTTGGATTAACACTGCATACATCTCCAACTCCCAACTTGTCTGCAATACCTAAACACCATTATAAAAATACGTAACAAAATCAATAATTTATAATTTTTATAAATTTAGAAAAAAGAAAATTATATACATACGTTCCAAAGATACCCTCACACTGGCATTAGTGTAAGCTCCACTTCTTTCTTCCCAAAGTTTCGATAGTCGCATGAAAGTCTACACATATCAAGAAATAAAAAAAAGAAAATTGTCAATTTAATATATAATCATATCATATAAATTTTCAATATGAAAAAAAATAAAAAAGATGTTTACTTGTGTGTAAGCATCACCAGATCCATGATGCAAAAGCGGGCGAGAAGCAGTACCTATAGCAGTTAATCTTTGTGCTAATGCATCCAAGGGTACATCTATAAAGACACTTATACCCTTGTGCATGTATTTCCTGTCATTTTTTTTAACTCAAATTAACCCCTTAAAATATAAAATATATAAAAAATAAAAAACATTAAATCATACCAATTAATAGGCCGAACAACAGCACCTCCACCAGTTGAAATAACAAGCCGATGCATCAATGACAGCTTATGCAATACCTCAGTCTAAAAAAAGTACAATACCATTGAAGGAAAGAAGGGGTAAAAATGTAATTTCATGTGTAAACGATAAAACTAACCTCGTTATCTCTAAAATACCCTTCGCCATGTAACTTAAAGATGTCTGCAACTGCAGTTCCACCAGCAGCTTGCTCGATTAATTTGTCACTGCAGGCATCTAAACACATGAATTTTTTTTTATCCAATTTGGTTATTTGATTGAATAGAAATGGATTAAAATATGTCACAAACCTGTCAAAAAAAGAATAATCAAGAACTTCAGATAATATCTGCCCGATTGTTGTTTTTCCAGATCCCATCATTCCTGCAATACATATAATAACAATATATATGAATAAGATAGTAATAAATAATAAAAGAAAAATGAAATATTTAAAGATGGAAAATGTTATTAGAACTGACCAACAAGATAAATACACCTTCCACTCAGACATGGTTTGATCTCCTCAGACTTTTTCTGCAATTCAAACAACAATAAATAAATGAATTTTTGTAATTATAAAGTCTATAATATGCACATTGTGTAACATAATATACCTTTAATAACAGATCCTCCTCAGCAATAAAAGTTTCTGATTTAAGTAGTGAAGCTACAATAAGAAATCAAATATAGAAAAGAATGTTAATATAAATAAATAATGTGTCTTGCATTTCTTTCTTTGACTATGAAATTCCTAATATACCCTCAAACATTACCTGGAAAATTTTGAGAAGTACATGAAGCCTTTAACCCTGCTGTTCTATGCCCAATTGCTGGTTTTATAGTTGCCAAATGATTGCAATTTAGCAGATTATTAACTCTTTTATTTTTCTCAAATCTTGTATATAACCTCTTGGAATTGTTCAGTTTTGGAACTGTATAATCTGAACTAGTCCATGTTGTTAATTGTAAGCTCTTTGAAACTGTGGCCTCCATTCTTTCTGTGATCCAAAATCCAGAAAGTTGAGATCTTCTTTGATATGAACAACAGCCTTATATTCTTCACTGGACACAATTACGGAATTACCCCTTCCAATCTGCTTGGCTGCAAAAGAAAATTATTAAATCGGTAATCATTTTCCTATTTCTACTTTCAATTTCAAACTAATTCATAAGTTATAATTATAGCATCCCTATGAAATTTCCCCATATCGAATATCAACTACAATTATGATTTACTCACACCACTTTATAAAAAGGCTGCATTTTTAGTTTGTTAGTAGACCTAATACCTTTCAAGCTTCCGAATTCACAATGGATGTGGATCTTGATGTAGATTTAACGCATTTATTACTCTATTTCAAGCACTTGTCACAAAGAAAGATATGTAGTTGGCTATTCTTTCTCACAAATTTACAATCCAAATCAATTTTGAAAAGTTTAGTGAAAAATTAAAACTATTGGCATCGAAAGTTAAAACTTAAAAGTGCTGAAAGGAGTAGGCGTGAATTATCAAATACTTCTCCTTCAATGTTCCATAAACACATCTGGCATTATCATCACCTATCAGAAAACCCTTCCTATCAAGTATCGATAAGTATTTACCATTTAACATTGTTATGAATGTTATCGGGGAACATGCATCCTAAAGAGACCGACACCACAAATATACTTCAAATTTTTAATAAATCTATATGATCTAATTCTAATCCATTTGTTAGGCTTACCGAAATTCAAAAAAAGCTGTCAATGATAGTTCCTCATTTGTAATGGATTTGGAGAATTAGAATCAACATACAACGAATTACGTACACGAGTTTACTGAAAGAGGTGCTGATGAATACCTGGATCGAAAACGGAGAATTAATTGAAGCGAATTTGAATGTCGGATTACGAATTGTACCTAACTAGCTTCAACTTGACTGGATTTATGTGAGCTTCTCCCACCAACCCCCACCACCAACCTCTATTTTACGAGAAATGCGTGGTAAGTAAGAGGCATTACTTTTAGAGCGATTCAGATGCAAATGTATTAGTATTATACTAGGACACAAATGCAAATCTATCATTTCACAGGGATCCAGATGTAAATTCTTACTAGGTAAATATCATAAAACTGTAAATTTAAATTTTTTATATATACATGTTTAAAAAAAAAATAAGACGTTAACTATAAAATAATAATTTTTATATTATGAAAATTTAGAATTATTTAGAATCATATTATAAAATATATTCATCAGAACAATATCATTCAATAACATCTACTCATACTTAGCATTTAAATAAAACTAAACACAAGTTTTAAATTAGTATTACAACTTAACGTTATGATTAATTAATTTAGAAATTACTTATCTATTGGTTCTTTTTTTCAATTTCGATCGTGATGGTTGATTGATATATGAAATATTGTTTGCAAATTAATGCAATGTAATTTTTTTCCTAATAATTAATTAAAACCGGCTTATTTGGAGAAATTGAATTATAATCAAAAATAGTTTTTTGAAACTTTGTATTTAACTTGACTTGTTATTCTATATTTATAACATTTATTCCTTTTTAACTATTTTGAAAAATAGTATTTTAATTTATTTTTTAAGTTTATTTTATATTTTGATTTAAGCTTTGGATTTAAATAATATTTAAAGTAACAAATAGTTGTATATAATAATCATTTTAAAGATCTATCAATAACAAGATAATATTTTGTATTCAATAATATATTTTAAATTAATGTATTAGTTATATTAAAGTGGAAATTAAAAAGTTTGAAGGTTTCAAATATATGATAATATAGAAAAAATGTATATTTTATAATATACTATGATAATGATATGATATGATTATACATTTATTTATAACTAATTAATTTATATTTTAGTTTTTAGATGTATTGTTTTGAAATACTTCAAAATAAACTATTACGAGTTTTATTTAATTCATAATTAAATATAATTAAATAGTATTTGTGAAACTCATTGAGATTAAAAAAAAATCGGTCGATTCTTTTATTAAAATTCGATTGATTATTAGTAGAATATTCAAACCTTAGGTTTTGGGTCACATAAATTATTTACTAAGATAAAGAAATAAGCAATAAAATAAAAGTAAAAAAATATTCAATTTGACACATAATGTTTTATATATATTTGATCAAATTCCTCTTCAATCAATTTTGTTTTTTACACATCAATCAATTTATGAATATCTTGAAATGATGCTTACAAAGCAAAAGGCTGGAAAGAAGTCTCGGCAGAAATTGTACTTTTATATATATATAACCTAATACGGAAATTTTGGATTTTTGGACATAAGGATTATAGACAATTTTAATAAGGGATAATGACTTAAAAGGGCAATATATTATTCGGCTTGTACACATTTGATCACTGAGTTTTTTTTTCGTCCACATTTACCTCTTCAACTTGTTAAACTGTACACATTCAGTCCTTATGACCGGCTACTCCAGGTTAGCCGATAAAAATGACTTAATAGGGTAATATATTTCTCACTTTGTACACATTTAGTCCTTAGGGGCTGTTTGGCAGGATCTGAATTTTTAAGAGATCTGAATTTCTAAGACGGTCTGAAATTTTAAGAGCTGAATGTTTAACATGTTGTTTGGTTGGTATATCTGAATTGTTGTGCTGAATTATAAAAATGACCATTTTACCATTCTGTTTTATTTTTTATTGAATTCAAGTGTTTGTTTATAAAATAACCTAATCAATTTCTAGCATAAATCAAGTGATCATACAATATAACCAAATTAAACATAAATTCTTTCAAATTCACTTCTTTCAATCCATTGTAACATATTGTATAACCAAATTAAACATAAATTCTTCCAAATTCAATTCACTTCTTTCAATCCATGGAAACATAAACATCATACAATAGCCACATAAAAATACTTCTTTCAATCCATGTTGCAACTAGTGAACTAAAGACTTTCTATCTCCTGCACACTTAAGAAACAACCATAAAATTTATCACTCTTTTATCCACAAAAAATTAATCAATAGAAATCATCCATTTAAGCAAGAAATTGCCAATTAGCAACAGGTATACAAGTTAATAATCAAAGTTCTTAACAAAAATTTCAGAATCCAAGTTCATAATTGTTTCAAGTATTAAAATTTCAGCATCAGATTTTCAAACAGATCAAATTTTCAAGAATCACCCACATTAAACATTTTAAGAGACTGAAATCGAAGCTCCCAATAACAGCTTTATCAAAATTTATACATACATCAACACTTAAAACCCAATACAAATCTGTTAGAAGCAAAACATTCAAGAAAAAACAAATTCAGCTCTCTTATCATCAGCAACAACAACTGTTAATATTAGATTTCAAACCTTTATAATTAGATTGCTGATTTCACCATTTCAATAGTTTGAAACCAAACTCAGAAAAAAAAAACAAAAGAAAATCACGAATTCAACATCAGATTACAAACCACACATGAATTCAGAAAAAAAACAAGTTTTCTATAAAAACAGGAAAAAAATTGAGTTCCGGGGGAAAGAAGGAAGAAACTCACCTGGAACGTCGGAGACGGAGGCGGCAGCATCGTTCGAGGAGGCGGCGGTGACGTTGGGGTGTGACGGCGTCGTTGCAGGCGACGTCGTCGGAGAACCTGGTGAAGGGAAGAACCTCGCACACGGACTGAAGAGTAAGAGGGGCGCTGGTTTGGTGAAGGTGACGTCGCTGCAACCATCACCGGCGTAGCTTGTGGAGGCGGGATGGCGCAGCTGGTGGAGGCGGCGACATTGTTGCAGATCGGAGAGAGGCAGATGGATTGTTTTAAGATCGGAGAGGGAGGAGAAATGGGCTACTGTCACACCCCCAAACCAAGGATGGCGGAAACGTCCGGGGGTGGAGGACTTCATGTAAAGTATCACAACAACGAGTATAATAGTGCTCAAAGTAAATACAACCATCATAAATATAATTGAAAAGGTTACACCATAGTATATGTTTACATGTTTCAAAATCAATTACATTATGATGACAAAATAAATTGTTTGACGATTTAACGTCTCATCCTTAAAGTGCTGATGTTTTCCTGTTTCACTGATTTCCTGAGAATACAAGTAGTTTTGAAAAGTGTCAACAATTAAGTTGGTGAGTTCATAAGAGTTTTGTTGGAGAAAGAAACCATTTTCCTTGAAAAAGCGGCAAATTACGTTTCCAGAAAATCCAATATTTTCTTTATTAAGTGAAATGAATGCTTCTAAGTTATGCGATAATGAACCCTAGAGGGACTCATAGATTCCTCCTACAATCGCCTAGTGTATATACGTTATATAAAATTTAAGTTAAATAAATCGTTGAATATAATGGGTCTGCCCTAGGTCCACAACCAAACAAGGAACAGGAGATGAGGCGGGCCCACCAATTCTAAGTCGATTGTGACTAGATTCTTATATAACTCTAGCATATACACTTAGCAATTTTAGCTGGAGCCTAACAATTCTAGACGTAATGTAGTCTTAATAGAGATGTGTTTCCAAAGAAAATCCGATATTTTCCTTAAAGAGTGAATCGTAAGTTTCTATATTAATGAATAGTGCATCCTAGAATTTCATGTAGTTTCCTTCTATAATCTCTAAGTGTATATAAGTTATATAAAATTTAAGTTAAATAGACCGTCGAATGTAATGGGTCTGCCCTAGGCCCACAACCAAACAAGGAACATGAAATAAAGCGGACTCACCAATTCTAAGTCGATCATGACTAATTTCTATATAACTCTAGCATATACACATAGTAATTATGGCTGAAAACTAACAATGCTAGATAGAATGTAGTCTTAAAAACCAAAGTCCGGGACTATGCTTATCATAATTCATCAAGAAGTGGTAGTGGACATAAACTATACATATCATAATTCACCAAATAGTGGTAGTGATAGTGCTCATGAATTATGCATATTATAGTTTATCAAATAGTGATAGTGGACATAAACTATACATATCATAATTCACCAAATAGTGGTAGTGATAGTGCTCATGAATTATGAATATTATAGTTTATCAAATAGTGATAGTGGACATAAACTATACATATCATAATTCACCAAATAGTGGTAGTGATAGTGCTCATGAATTATGAATATTATAGTTTATCAAATAGTGATAGTGGTTGTGAACCTAAACTATACCTATTATAGTTCTAGCATGCTTGTTTGTGATGTATAAGGACCCTTTTCTATGTAAGTCGAATGTATAGCAAAAGATAACTATGTGTTATCATGCCTTATTTTGGTACTAATGGTAATAATGGAGGATTCTTACAATTTAGTGAGTATTTCCTGTTATATAAATATACCACAACAAGAAACACATGTAAAATATGAAATCCTCAAAGATTAACACTTTGCTCAACAAGTTACAAAGTGTGATGAAAGTTATAAACTGTTATCTAGATTTTTACCTTCCTACACCGTTTTAGAAAAATCATAGAAAAATCATACGAAGTCGAAAACTGAATCCGTAAATTCTGAGAGTTCACAAAATGTGTCTAGTTTATTCATAATTTTTGTTATGATTTTTGGAAGTCTTTAACTTGTGTTAAAATGTTCACATTCACAGACTGGTCCGAATTCGTTTCTGAAGTGATAGGCAGTTTTGTAACAATCACCATAAATCGTAGAAAAATCGTATGGAGGTGTGCAAGTAGTCATTTTAAAGGTATGAACCTGAACTATGCGCACCTAATACAGTTTTGAAAACTAAAATGTTTAAGTTGTCCAAAACAGTCCGTGAATGGAGTTAAACTTTTTTGATGAAGGTTGTTAAATGAGTTTAGTTGTGTTCTTGGTGTTTTAACTTGTATTCCCCCCCTTAAAACTTAAGAAAAACATGAAAAGATAGGGGTATGAACTCACCTTGAGTGATTTCAGTAGATGGATGATGGGGAAAAGAAGTGTTCAACTCAAGAACACTTGGGAGATGCTTGAAGATTCGAAGATCTAACAACAAATATGACGATATTTGTGTAAGATATCTATGATTTGTGTAGAAGGAAGTGAAATAATTATATGGAGGATGAATATACTTACTAAAAGTGAAGGAAAACTTGATGATCAGCCCTTGAATCTCGATTTGAGAGAGAGATAAGTGAGAGAAAAGTATTTGTTCTTTGGAGGAAAAATGAGAGAAATGAGAGAAAGTGTTAGGAGAGAGGATAGATTTCAGCCTTGACCAAGAGTATGGTTGGTCAAATGGTGGGGAAAGTACTCTTCAATGACCAGGTATGGTGGGGAGGGGTGTGGGCTGGTCATGGAGTGGGTGTGGGTGGTTGCTTGTGTCATACACTAAGGCAAAGTCAACACTCCACCACAAGATCTTACTTAATAGATTTTATTCTTAAATAATGTTTTCCTTAAAAATATGCTGAATTTATGAATATATGGGGCCTTATATATCAAAATATAAGTTTGGGTGAAAATCCCTCGTCAAAATAATTAAAAACGGGCTTAAAACGGAGTCGGGGTCGAAAACCGGGTGAAAATCGCAAAATCCGAAGTCAGGAGGGTGACTCCGGCCTTAACTGCCTTGGATCCGAAGTGAAGGCCTGGTCGCGGATGCGGATTCGAAGAGGAAAGGGGGCTGCGGGCCGAGCAGGAGGGCTGCGGCTCGCTGGCTGCGGCTCGCCGGCTGCGGCTTGCTGGCTGCGGCTAGGTGGCTGCGGCTCCTCCAGGAGACTCCGGTTCAAGGAGGGTTTGATCCCTATAGAGGGACTCCGGCCCTAAGAGGCTATTTTCCAAGGTATCTTCCCGTTTCGCATGGTTTTTCACCAAGTCAAGTGTCGGGATGCCCCAAATGATTACAAAAAGATCAAAAGAGGTTTTGAGAGAGATTTGGGAGAGATTTGGGAGAGATTTGACATACTTGGAGAGATTTCACATACTGGGAGAGATTTGGGAGAGATTTCGCATTCTTGGAGAGATTTCTCATACAGAGAGAGATTTGGGAGAGATTTCACATTCTTGGAGAGATTTCTCATACAGAGAGAGATTTGGGAGAGATTTCATATTATTGGAGAGATTTGGGAGAGATTTGACATTCTTGGAGAGATTTCTCATACAGAGAGAGTTTTGGGAGAGATTTCACATTCTTGGAGAGATTTCTCATATAGAGAGAGTTTTGGGAGAGATTTTACATTCTTGGAGAGATTTCTCATACAAAGAGAGATTTGGGAGAGATTTTACATTCTTGGAGAGATTTCTCATACACAGAGAGATTTGGGAGAGATTTTACATTCTTGGAGAGATTTCTCATACAGAGAGAGATTTGGGAGAGATTTTACATTCTTGGAGAGATTTCTCATACAAAGAGAGATTTGGGAGAGATTTTACATTCTTGGAAAGATTTCTCATACAAATAGAGATTTGAGAGAGATTTTACATTCTTGGAAAGATTTCTCATACAAAGAGAGATTTGGGAGAGTTAGAGTGGAAGAGATTGGGAGAGACTTCTTTTGTGACCTTTTTGAGTGTTTGGCTTCGTAACGCAAGGTTTGTAAACCTCGTTAAGTCTTGTTATGATTGTTATATGCCCCCGAGGGTTAAGGAATAAGGTTTTATTGAGTAGTTTCATCACTTGCCCTGATTAGGGTTTAGAGTTTCCGAACACGTGAAAATTCCAAGTGATACTTTGTATTAAGATTGCGAGTTGTTCAATAAGATATATAATGGAAACCCTAACGTACAAGGGTTAGATGAGTTGACCGGTTTGACTTGTTGACTTTAGTTGACTTTGACTTGGCTAAAAATTGACGGTTGTCACAGCTACTGTCTCGATGAGTAGAAAAAAAAGAAGCGGCTCCTTGTTTGGTATGTAGGGCATAAATGTCTTTCATTTAATTCAGATACGCCGTCAAATCTAAATTTTTAAGAGCCTACTTAAAAATTAAGAGCCTTTTTTTCATATGCTACCAAACACCCAATATCTTAAAAATTAAGAGCCCTCCTCTTAATTTTTCAATTAAGAGGTAAACAAACAGGGCCTTAATATTTTTGTACACATTTAGTCTTTAATATTTTTTTGTTACAAAATAAATCATTTTTGTTTTTGTAGTTATTTAATATTTATGAATGATTTCTTTAGGTTTTTCTCACGACATCTTGGGACAATCATTAATAAGGTGTTTGGGGCTGTTGATGCTTATGTCCATCGCGATCTCAACTATTTGGTTGCTTAGGTCATGTGTTCTGAACGTCATAACTTCTTCATACGATCTCGGGTTTTAACGATCTTTATATCCATGCGTTCGTATTCTAGTCTACTACAACTTTGGTTTAAATTACTCCCGTTAAAAAGTAATATATTTTTATTTACGATCTTTATATCCATACGTTTTTTATGAATACATGTATGGATGCTTTTTTTTTATAAAATCATAAGTAAAAATATATTACATTTTAACAGGAGTAATCTTAACGAAAGTTATAGTAGACTCAAAAAACAAACATGTGGATATAAAGATCGTTAAACTATGATATCGTTACGGCGTTCAGAACACAAGACCTAAGCCAAACCACAAGATCTACGCAACCAAGCAATCGAGATCGCGATGGACACAAACATCAACAGCCCCAAACACCTCATCAATGATTGTCACACATAAGATGTTGTGAGAAAAACCTAAAGAAATCATTCATAAGTATTGAATGAGTACAAAAACAAAAATGACTTATTTTGAAACAAAAAATATTAAGAACTAAATGTGTACAAAATATTAAGGACTAAATGTGTACAAAATGAAAAATATATTACCCTATTAAGTCATTTTTCCCGGCTAACCTGGAGTAACCGGTCATAAGGACTGAATGTGTACAGTTTAACAAGTTGAAGGGGTAAATGTGGACGGAAAAAAAACTCGG